GTGAGGGGGAATAAACTTCCACTGAACCCCATTATTAGATAGATATTCGGCTATCTCTGGAAGAAAGGTAGATTTTTCTTCGTTAAACAATTTATGTAACTCGCGAGCTGCACCTACGAAGTTTGAGCCATTGTCACTGTATAGCTCTGCACAACGACCTCGCCTTGCAACGAATCGCTTAAAGGCTGCTAAAAATCCCCTTGAAGTTAAGTCACTAACCACTTCTAAGTGGATAGCACGTGTACATAGACAAATGAACAAGGCTATATATCCCTTGTAGGATTTGTTGCCGCGACCTTTCGATACTCTTACGCTTATTGGCCCAGCATAGTCAACTCCCGTACAAAGAAATGCCTTATTGGGTGTCACACGCGGAGTTGGTAACTGCCCCATTAATTGAGCTTGTGTTCGTTTAGAATATCGAATACACACAATACATCTTCGATAGTGAGACTTGACCAACGATTTGACTCCTATGATCCAGTAACTCGATCTCAGATAAGTGATCATGGCTTGAGGTCCACCATGCAGCGTCTTATTGTGAGCGTCTGAGATAAGAAGAGCTGTTAAGAATGAATCCTTCGGTATAAGTATAGGATGTTTTCGATTATATTCTAGATTCGACATTTCTAACCTTCCTCCTACGCGAATTATCTCTTTTGCGTCTAAAAACAAATTTAAGGATTTAAAGTTTTTCCATTTAGAATCTAAACAACCACCTTTTTTAAGTTCCTCTCTCAACTCGAAAAATTCATCAACCTGACATCTCCTGATGCAAGTTGTCATCGCTTCATTCAATTCTGTACTAGACAAGAAACTAGTACTGTTCTTGATTGTAGTCTTGCTCCTCAAGCTCAAGAACCTCCTACAATAGGCAACGACTCTAACCAACCTTTGAAGCGACGAAAACCTGCACCAGAATGAAAAGTCGGTTATGCTTGCATGTACTTGAATTTGTTCCAGTTTGGTTGCCAAATGTTTTGGTTTCCTACAGTCTAGTGTTAGTTCTTTTAAAAAATCTGGCCCGTTGAACCACACAGAAACTGAGCTGAGTTGTCCTGGTACTACCCCTCGAGAAGCGCAGTCCGCTGGATTTTGTTTGGTGGAAATGTGAGACCAATGTTTGGTATCCAAGGTAGTCAAAATCTCAGACACCCTGTTTGCAACGAACGTCTTCCATCGATTGGGATGACCATTCAGCCATGCGAGAACAACCTCGGAATCTGTCCATGCATACAAATTACTTTGTTTGATTTCGAGAACTTCAGCGACTTCCACGATTAGTTTCGCCAACAGAACGGCTCCGCACAATTCTAGTCGTGGGATAGATATCTGTCTTATCGGCGCCACCTTTGTTCTAGAAGCAATCAACGACACCTTGACGCAACCTTTGGTATCTACAACTCTTACATACACTACCGCAGCATAAGCCAATTTTGAAGCGTCAGAAAATCCGTGAAGTTCTACAAGAACATTGCTGGATTCTATAGTATACCACCGTGGGATCTTTATATGAGCCAAGCAGGATAAGTCTTTCCGATAAGCTAACCATTCCTCTAACAAAATATTCGGAACCTCATCATCCCAACCTATACCTGCTAACCATAACTTCTGTATTAGAATTTTCGCTAAAATTATACTAGGTGCCAACCATCCCAGCGGGTCGAAGAGCCGTGAGATATCCGATATAATTTTGCGTTTGCTTATGGGTTCTCTTGGAAGTGGTAGTTCTACAGAATACTGGAAGACATCAGCGTTTGGATCCCAGGTAAGACCTAATATCTTTGCAATATCATCTATTTGTATTTTTAACTTGCCTTCCTTAGTTCCTTCCTTATCCCTTATCTCCTCTAACAATTCCGGGCTATTACTAATCCATTTTTGAAGGAGGAATCCTCCCCTTGCTAGACTTTTTGTAACCTTTGTATATATATTTAATACCTGTTCTATGTTTTCAGCACCTGACATTAAATCATCCATATAAAAGTCGTTAAGGATGATTTTCGCAATTTCTGGATCATTATTACACTCATCGTAAGCGATCTGCTGAAGACAGCGCACCGCTAAGTATGGTGCTGAAGCAGTACCAAATGTAACAGTGATTAGTTCTAATTCTTCCAGTTCTTTTTCAGGTTCATCCCGCCATAAGACGCGCTGATAAATGGAATCATCCCTGTGAACTAAAATTTGTCTGTACATTTTAATGATATCCGCGCTAAGACAAATTCGATGTCTTCGCCAACGCATCACAATATGTCTTAGATCGGCTTGTAAGGTTGGACCAACCATGAGACTATCGTTCAAAGACATACCATGTTTCCCTTTACAGGAAGCATCAAAAACTATGCGAACCTTGGTCGTCTGCTTGTCTTCGCGAACGACTGCATGGTGAGGTAAGTATAGCCCTTTATTTTGATTCTTTCTTGCCACCTTTACCATATGATTCAATTCTAGGTACTCGTGCATGACTCTAGTGTATTCCGCTTTTAATTTAGTATCCTTTGACAGTCTATATTCTAAATTTTTAAATCTTTTTTCAGCAATCAATCTGGAACCACTCTCATCAGAGCTACGTATATCATCGCGAAAGGGAAGTCTCACGACATAACGGCCAGTACTATCGCGCGTTGTGGTTGCTGAAAATATCCTTTCACATTCCGCTTCTTCTGGAGTGAGCATTGGTTTGTTTAACGTAGGCTCAGCTTCTAATTCCCAGAATTTGCGTAAAAGAGAATCGTCTTCTTGGACACTAGCGTGCATGACGGTTATACCTGAATAAGAATTGGATGAATCATCTCGACCTACAACGCCAGAGACTATCCAGCCAAACGTTGTGTGTTGCGCTAACAGAGATCCGCTTCTGCTGACACCATCACTAAGAATTTGGCTATATATCTCAGCACCTAATAACAAATCAATTTTATTCGGTCTGTGATATTCAGGATCAGCCAAATCGTTATCACCCAATTGTTCCCATTCTACCCTGGTTGCTTTCGCAACTGGGAGAAGAGAAGTGATGGATTTTAGGACGTGTGCCTTTACTTGCACCCTAAAGTCCGGATTAAATCTTGAGCGCAAGACGACACTTACGGTAGATTTGGAAAGAACCGTTTTATTTCCGCCGACACCTGTTACGAGGTGTTTAATTGAAGATTTCTTTAAACCTAAATACTGAGTCACTGCCTCAGTTATAAATGATCCTTGGGATCCCTGGTCTATTAAAGCACGAACTACCAGATAAGCTCCATGCCTCGACTCGGCTTCTATCAAAGCCGTAGGTATTAGCACTGTATCCATACAGGCTCCTGTCGAATGACATGAAACTAGTTGCTTACTAGACCCCTCCGCTTGTATAGCGGCCTTGCTCTTACCTACTGAACTATCGTTTACTACTTCAGTAGATGTTGGCATTTGACTTTGGAGAACTGTTCCGGAAACCTCACCTATAGACCCAGAACCACCACTAGGGTGGAGCAAAGTATGGTGGCGTTTACGACATACATGACATTTGAGGGTGTTTTTACAGTACTTAGCTAAATGGTTAGTTCCTAAGCAAACAAAACATAATCCTTTTTCCTGTGCAAAATTACGACGAGTGTCATTATTTTCTTTTGTGAACTTTTTACATACTACGAGTTTATGTGGGGCAGTACAATAAATACATTTAACTTCCTTATTTTGTTTTTCTACCACGTGAAATGATTTTAAATCTTTAGACGCGTTTGATTTTATATTTAAATTCTCGAGACCACGAAAACGACCTGTTAAAAATTCGGTAAACTCACAAAATTTTGGTAAATTATCTCCAGGTAATGCTGCTATATGCAGCTCCCATGCCTTTCTAGTCTCTTTATCTAACTTAGCACTTATAAGGTGAATTATGATTATGTCCCAAGAAGCAATATCGATACCCATGTTTTTGATAGATTGCAAACAGTCGGTTGTTGTACAAATGATTCTTTTAATTTCAACCGCTGATTCAACCGTAATGCTCCTTTGATTCAATAACCGGTTTAAAACCCCATTGGCTAGAAATCGTTTATTGTTGTACATGGTTTCTAATTTAGTCCAACTACTTATATAATTATCCGCTGTAACATTAATATTATTAAGTAGTTGCTGAGCTTCCCCTGATAAGTGCCCTTTCAAATAGTATAATTTTTGTGCGTCATCTAAGTGTTGATTATTGTGAACCAACCCCATAAACAAGTCCCTAAAGGTTTGCCATTCGTTATACTTTCCGGAAAATATAGGTATTTTAACTTGAGGCAATTTTATTTTAGTTACTTCCGTACTAGGACCTATATTTTGGTTACTAACAGATACTTTACGTTCGGACAGAATTTCTTTCAAGTCACATTTAAATTGAATATACAATTCTTCAACTACTTCATATATATTTTCTTTATAGTACGTTGAACTTTGTAATTCCTTTTTTTCAGCATCACGAACTATTTTACTATGCGTATTATCAAATAATTGCCACTGCTTTTCTAGATTTTCTAAGCGTGCTTCTATGTATGAAATTGTAAGCCTTTCCTTAGGACTTTTTTTAAAGTTAGACCTCGCCTTACAGATTTTCGATTGAATGTCATCTTGTAAATTAATAAGGGATTCCATTTCAATATAAGGCAGAGCAATACAATTCTAAGTCCTTAGGTAATAAATAAGCAATGGTGCAAAATCAAAGTTGAGAACTTTTCTAAGTATTGGCCAAAAGCGTTAAAAATACTCTAAGTGTTTAAATTAAACAAATTGAACCGAAATCGGGCATAGGTTCCCCGTCTCAACTACTTTTGCTTAAAACTAATTACAAGTCTAAACTACTAAACTAACCACAAGGAATCTACTTAAATTACCAAAATTTACAACAACACATTAACAAGCTAAGTCTATTTTTAATTCATTGTAAAGTTTCTAAGTTCAAATTTTACTGCACTGCTATTTTTTCTGTCTTGATTAAACTCACTACTCGCAAAGCTTTAACTTAATATCGTAAAATGTACTCACGGTTTCTTCACAAAACACTCACTGACAACACATCGAAGCCTCCAAGTGGCGCCCTCTACCGCACCTCCAATCAGCCACACTGCTTGTCCTTCCGCTCGTCACCTCCAGCTCCTTCGCCGGTTGCTCCTCTTGATGACGTCACCACTAGTGCCCACACGCACTTGGTTGCGCCTCTATTGAGGGCTTGTTCTGAGTAGCAATCCACTACTCAGTAAACCTAACGAGCGGATGGTAATCTTCACCACCACCGAAGAATACCAAAACCACCTTCACTCACTATCCGGCTCGAAGGACCATGAACGAATTTCTGGTTCTGTCGAGGTGAGGACACAATGAAACTCAAGTCATTGGACAAGATATTTATTGTGTTACTACAATATTGCTAGCCTAGTGCGGCTTAAAATCAAATTATTACATTGACCTTATATATAAAACACCGTTACGAAACAATAGCGCGATGCACAAAGGTACTATCAACGCCATCTATCGAACTTCAAGTAACATTTACACACTTCATAAAATGAAAATGTTAACAATATTGGACAACCATGACCCGTAAAAATTGAGCGGCACAGTGATCCACCTCAAGCCATGTCCTCGACAACCGTTCGCGAACAGATGGAAAGAATTGGTAAAGATGGCGCCCCTTGGATGATTCATCCCAGCGTTGTTGCCATTCGTCTATGAGGTCATTATAGACATCGGACTGCTGTTGAAGCAATCTTGTAATTTTACCGCGATCCCGCGCGCCCAAAAAATCGCATTCCACGTTTTGTTGTCTTGAATAGTACATGGCTGCATGTCTCTGCACATCGAGATCGACCGGAAGCACACCCGCCAACACCGGCAAAGCCTCAGTGCCAACCGTCCTATATGCCTTGCACAAGAATATCAGTGCAAGTCGTTGGCCTTGTAACAGTTTGCGACGGACAGCGCCTACGGTCGCCCTATCGGCAAATACAGGTGCACCATAGCACATAGAACCTAAATAAGTAGCTCCGTATATGATCTTTAATGTATTAAATGATAGACCCCATGTCGCAGTTGATATCCTTGTCCATGCACAGAAACTCTTTTTAGACTTTTCATTAACTATTTTAATATGTTCGATAAATGAAAAGTTTCTTTCTAAAACTAATCCTAGGTAACACACTGAGGCCTTATTTTTTACAGTAACTTTGTCAAATCTAATGCTTGGCGGTGATTTGAGGTTACCTTTTAAAAGTAGCTGGAAGGTTTTGTTGGGTGCAAAATTTAAGCGATTACGTTCACCCCATTGAGATATCAAGTTCAAACATCTATTGGCTAATCTCTCAAGCCCCGCCCTAGTATCAGATTCCACCAGTAATAAGCCGTCATCAGCATACGCGTTCAGAGTACATCCGGATGGTATTGGTATCGCAAGAAAATCGTCGAAGCTGATATTCCACAGT